TTGCTCTGAGTTTATGAGCTGGGAGGTTGACACTTCCACCTCATGTAAAGGATTAAAACAAGAGCAGCAACTTTCTGCATCACAAAGAAGATATTACAGCCTCTGCAAGAGAAAGGTGAGAAAATAGTGATCAACGACAGGAGAATAAGTGAACAAAAAATGTACAAATTTTACATCTATTATTGCTTCCCCCTAAAAAATGCTTAAAAAGCTTAGACAAAAGCCAACGTTTTTGCAATAATTTAAGAGTAAAACAAGTTACTTACTGATTGTAGAACTTGATGATACGGTAATAACTTGAAAGTAATGCCTTACAGTATTTTCAGGGGATTTTTTTTATATAAATAGTGCAAGTGATCTCAAACTTAAATTAAAACGTCAGGCAGCTTCTTCTTTAATCGGAGCCACATTAAATGTTCTCTATGCTTTTTCATCCTCGCAGTCATTCGCCGCCTTTGTCGCATCGAAGAGGAAGGACTGTTGTGAAACAGGAAGTGCATCCTGGGGCTGCTGTGGCCAGACCTTCAACGAACACTCTGCAGTCCACAAACATGTGGCCAAAGCTCACAACGCTGACGTCCAGCAGCTCACACAGGCCGCAGCCGAACATTTGCTAAAACAACTGGAAGAAGAAACCGAAAGGCAGCAGAATGAAGAAGACAAGGACCTGTCTGCATGGGTACCAGATATTAGCCACGTCCCTGAGGAGCAACTTAAAACGTAAACAAATATCTGGTTTCCATTCCTGCTGCAGCTGCGGTGGTGTCCATATTTTTACATTTTCAGTTCAGTTTAATTTATTGTGTCTCCTGTTTTCATGAAGCGGTCCTGGAAAGGTCCTGCTCTTTTATCGGTACTGTCAGGTGGACGATCCACAGACCATCTGTGCTTGGCAGAAAGCTTTATGTGAGAAGCTCAACTTAACTGGCAAGGTGAATACACTCTACAAGAATGCAGCGCGTTAATATCGAGAAAAATACAAGTAGAGACGTGTGTCTTTGATGTGTCTTTTGAGTTCCTCTTTTCTGTCTGTCTTCAGGTACGTGTGGCAGCTGAAGGTATCAATGGGACCGTTGGTGGCACCAGGGTGGCCACGGATATTTACATCGACGCCATGCTTTCACATCCTCTCTTCAAGATGGAAAAAGAGGATTTTAAGGTCAGAATCGGATAAATAAAACGCAGACATGTTGAGGCCTGTCTGGCACGTCTGGCTTTCGTTTTTGAAAATATACCTTGAAATAATCAGCGTTGGTTTAATTTAGCCTTGCACACGAACGGAAGTGTTTTCTTCTCTTGCGTTTGTTGGTGTTCAGACCAGCGACGGCAGCGCTGCGTGTTTCAGAGACCTGAAGGTCGGAGTCTATACGGAGATCGTTCCGATGGGAGTGGACCCAGATGTTGTTTCCTACCAGCTGGCAGGTTTGTTTGTCTTCTGTACTTTTACTGTCCCCTCTACTGATAATATCCATCGTGTAGGAAACTCCTTCAGGACCATCAAAGTCTTGAGCTATTCTTTTATTTTTTTAGCTTCTCCTCTTTTTCACATTAACTGATGTGATCTGCAGTGTGTTTAAAAAACTAAGGGAACTAGAAAAGCAGAAAACAAACAAAAAAAAGTACCAGATCTCAAAACTCCCATCAGATAAGATTCGGCTTATTCCTCTCAGCTCCAACTAAAGAACTAAGAAGAGATTTAGCCTCTGTGTCAGCTGATGTCAAAGTGTTTGTTTATAATAGTTTATTTAAGTTTTCTGTTCCGTTACTCCTCCAAATCTGAAGTTCAGGTGCGTTTCTAGGCCTGAATGATGGAAAAGCTTCTGTTGAAGTTGGTGTCACTGAAACGTTAAGACTGTGCAGTTTTTCCTTTATTAAGTTCTTTTCACGTCCGTTTGACCTCTCAGGAGTTCATCTGGAGCCTGAAGAGTTTCATAAAGAGGTGGAGACTCTTATGGCACAAAGGGATTTGTGTAGCGACACTGTCCTTCTGGACTGTCGCAACTTCTACGAGAGCAAAATCGTGAGTGATGAGATGTTTTATTTCTGAGCAGACTGTGTGGAGGCCATCCTTCGATGCAAGAAATACACACATTGTTCGTAACAATAAGAATCATCGTCACGTGAGGAGTTGCTTTAAAACAAATAAATTCTTCTGAATATCTGAAACGGTTGGACACCAGTTAAACCTTCTAAACAATGTAACGTTTGTGACTGGAGTAAATAAACGAGAGTTTCTTTCCCCCAGGGGCAGTTCTCTCAGTGTCTGGCTCCAAACATCCGTAAGTTCAGTTATTTCCCGGACTACGTGGACCAGAACCTGGAGCTGTTCAGAGACAAGAAGGTTCTGATGTACTGTACCGGAGGGATTCGTTGTGAGCGCGGCTCCGCCTACCTCCGCTCAAAGGTGAGCTCCAGACCGGCCCCCTTTTCTCTTTAGCTAATGTTTTACTTATTTTAGCTAATCCTTGGTTTGCTACTTTATCTTTTAATTATTCTTTTGATCATTTTAGAATTTCATCAAACATTTTATTACTTTTATTTAGTGTTTTGCTACTTTGAGCTTTTAATTTGCGTTTTGCTACTTTTAGCTGGCTTTCCACTATTTTAGCTAGCTTTTTGTTGCTTTTTGATTTTGGCACATGTTTTGCTATCTTTAGCTAGCATTTGCTACTTTTAACTAATCGGCTGCTGCTTTTGGCTTGTGTTGTATTACTTTAATTAGCCTTTTGTACATTAATCTAGTGTTTTACTACTGTAAATTAGCATTTTATTACTTTTAGCTAACTGACATTTTTAGCTTTTAGCTAATGTTTTGCTACCTAAATGTTCATTATTCAGCCACAGTTTATTAAACTCCACTTCCTGGTTCTTGTTTGCAGCCTGACTTTAGTTTTCTCGTCCATGTTAAACCTGTTGATCTGTTTGTTTATTTGTTTGTTTATCTGTTTATTTGCTGCTCTGTTTATTTGTTTATCTGTTATCAATCTATTTGTTTATCTGTTTGTTTATTTGTTGTTTTGTTTGTTTATCTGTTCATTTGTTGCACTGATTTTTTTATCTGTTTATCAATATATTTGTTTACTTGTTTTGTTTATCTGTTTATTTGTTTCTTTGTTTATTTTTTGTAACTATGTTTATTTATCTGTTTATTCATGTATTTGTTTGTTGCTCTATTTGTTTGTTTGTTGATTTATCTATTTGTTGCTCTGTTTCTATATATTAATTCATTTGTTTTCTGCTACGTGTGTTTGTTTATTTGTTGCTCTGTTCATTTGTTTGTTGATCTGCTTGTTTGTTTATTTGTTGCACTGTTCATTTATTTGCTGCTCTATTCGTTTATTTGTTGCTCCGTTCATTTGTTTGTTGATCTGTATGTCACTTTGTTTTTT